AGACAGGAGTAAGAGTTTTAGCCGCTTCTCGCATGATATAAACTCCATCATCGTAAGCTCCAGTGAAGTAAATAAAGTCACAGCGGTGCTCTTTGAGGAAGTCCTTTGTCTCCATTAATGTACAAGTCAAAACTTGACAGACGCTCTAAAATGTGGTTGAAGAAAACGGCTTTTGGGGAAGACTCTCTAGACTTCGTTTGATTTGCCTACAGCAGAAGTCTTAGCATGGGCCGTAGAAATAGGTAGTGTGGGTTTGGAGGCTTCAAAATTGGAAACTTCTAGCAGTTACTTGAATCGTTCATATTTTTAAAAATTTTTCAAGAAACGGGCGCCTTTATAAGAAAACTATAAATTCCCTCATAGCAAAACATTATTACAGGGTTTCGCGATCCACTGCTCACTCAAAATTGACATTGTTGCTCTCTTAAATTGTACTTTAATGGAACGTCTATCAAATGAAAAGAAAACTTACGCGATTAAAATACTTCGGAATTTGTTCAACAAAGAGCTGGTTGGTCGCTAAAGCTAGATCAGCCGGTTTAATTATAGCACAGTTTCCAGCCGCAATAGCTCCTGCCAGAGGAATCATAATGTTTTGGAAAGGTGAGCTCCAGGAGGAAATAATTAGAACAGTTCCAAGAGCAAGCAACTCTTCCACGCATTCATCTTTGTGGAATATCCTAGTTTTTGGCATCTAAACAGCTATTCCAAGTTTTTAGCATGTTTGACATACTGGCTGAGTTTTAGTCCATGATCGAAGGTTTTTTAACAATTGCTGAATTTCATACTTGACGCACAAAATCTCTGACGTAAGAACCTCAAACGGAGGCTAAATAAAGTATAATAAAATTAGGATCCGACCAACTTTTCCCAGATCTGATTCCAGTGCCTGCCTAATTTTGTCTTCTTTTTCAGTTACAAAATCAAGCAAAGAATGCAAATAAATCCTTCTCATCTTCAAAGTGATGGGCCAATTTTGTCGGGTCTGAGAATTTAGTGCATTTGGGTCCACCATATCGATTATCTACAAATAAAGACAAAGTGTTGCATAAGCGCGTATTTAAAAATTACAGAGCATTCCCGTTATTGAATGTGGTGGGCAAAACCTTTCGCTTGTTAATTATCCTACCGGGAACCACTGTTGTGCATTATATGATGTATTAATATTACTGATGCACAATTTACTATGTCTAAATATGTACAATAACAATATTGGTGTAGTTATACTATCCTTCATGGCATAAAACAGCATCTCGGAAATAAAAATTTTCAATAACCTCCGTGCTATCAGCGTGCTTAAAAAGTGAACTCCAAGCGACCTTGTTAATTCGACCTTAAAATGCATATTTTAAAAATTTAAACAAATGTCTAATCTTACATTTACGCACTAGCAACAGCAACGGCTTTTAGCT